AACTTGTCCCAACGATCGCAGCCACTATTTTCAATGTATCGTCTCGTCTGTCGCACAACTTGTCGCGAATAACGGAATCTTCAGTCCCGAAATAGTCTCGTGCCCAGGTCAACGCTCGATTTTGGAGCGTCCCAGTCAGCGCTCCACCCCCTTCAACGAGGTATTCTCGGAACGAGTCCTCGTCCAATAAAGCTCTGCTCTCTTTGTCGCGCAAAGGAGGGATGTCGTCTTCAGCATCACAGTTCCTCTCGCTCTCAGGAACGTCGAATTGGCGACCCTTCGTAGCGTTCTGCGCTTGTTTGAGGCGCTCGTACACTCGGCTACGAATTATGGAACGCCATCAAAATGGTAACGTTCCCGTCTCCTCTGCAGGGAGTTCCAAGATTGGCTCAACGTCCTCTTCGACTCCAACACAAACGTTCTGTATGAACTCGTTCTCCAGTGTGTCTTCAGACATCTCCGTACAACCCTTACGCTTGTCCTCGTCCGTCGTAACGGAATCAACGACCGTCGTCAACTTCTCTTTTGTTGCTCCAACATCCTTGAAGTCTCGATTGGCACGCTTCGCTTCAGTCGACGTCTCTAGCGTGTGAGCGTACCAGTCCAGCCATTACTCTGGCGTTCCGAGGTCTCCTGATGAGACCTCCCGGGTACGTTCCAACACCTCTTCCGGTATCCCAAGCTCAGCGCTCATTTCAGCGAGTGTCGGCCTCCCTTGTTCATCCGCGTTCCGCTTGGCACGTAGCAGAACCTCTTCTTCGTTCATCGGAAACGCTCGTTCTTCCAGTTCCTTTTCGTACTCCTCGGGCTCATTCTTCACTACCTGGTTGCCACCGTGCTCGAGCATGTTCAGCTGCTCGTCGGTAAACAGGTAGGTGCGTGCGTCGATCCCGTCCCCTTCAGTACGTTTCTTTCGTCCTCCTCGGCCTTCTGAGCTTCTGTCCTTTCTTGACCAGTCCTCACTGGTCCAATGACAGCCGAAAACTGACTTGACCTGGCGCCAGATGCGTCCTCCGTGATGCGTTTCGAGTGCTCCTTCGTACTGCTTTGGAGCGGGTGGACAGCATTCTTCACCTCCTCACTCTCTTGGCACTTCGCTTGGGTCTTCCAAACGTAACCTCCAGGACGTTTTCTTGGCTCCTCTTTCCTGAGCCTCCTTCCACTAATCTGGGAGCGTTCCGGTTGATACCGTTTTCCCCCAGTTAAGCTCCGCCGATGAACGTCCCGGTTGATGACTCAGGCGACCACTCTCTCTCGGTACGGGCCCCTCAATAGAGTCCTATATCTTCTGGACACTCTTTCCTTGGCGTCTGACGCAGTCTCGGGGCGCTCCGTTCCTCCCTTACTCACGTCCGCTACAACCCAGAACGTGCCCTTCTTTCGTTTTCCTAGTTCAGCGTCGCAGAGGAACGTTCCGTTGTTACCTGAGCGACCACTCCGTCTCGTGCGGGCCTCTCCGTAGAGCCCTCAATATTCTCGTCTCATTCTAGCCCAGTCCGTTCCGTTGGACTGCTCTCGCTGCTCGTTCCACTTTTAGTTTCCACAATTTCCATCTTTACGCTCGTGACAGGAACGTCACGTGCGCCTTCATCGTTCATCACACCTCTCCTGAGAGCCTCCTGAGGTCCACTCGCCAAGTCTTGTCGTGGTGAACCCTCATCTCTCTTCGTGTCGCCAACCAGGCAAGAGGAAGGAGCGACACTTCCTTCCCCTTCCTTCCGCCCCTTTATTGTTGGGACGTACCAGCGGGTGCAGTCACGCTTCCGGCGGCGACGCTCTGCATCAGTCCTCTCAAAGTATCGAGGCTCGGGCATCTCGCCACCAGGCGACCCGCCATACCACGTAGCAGACACCCCGCTTGTCGGCGTTCCCCGTTCCGGTAATTCCCTTGGGGTCTCGGCCAGCTGCACTCCATCGAGTAGTGCCCAAGTTTGTTGCACCTATTGCAACGGCCTTGTCCCCTCACCTCGGACACGTCTCACGACCACATCCAACCCGCCCACAGCGTCCGCACACTACTTCTCCCTCTGTGGTAGGTGTGTCAGGCCCTAATCGAATGCGAAGAGGCCCGACCGGTGCACCAGTCACGTTCCCATTCGGAGTTGGAACACCAGAAGCTGGAGCGTTCGTGGGGGCCACGGCGCCGACGAACCCTTGTGACGTGCCAGGATCCTGCTGCTTCAGCATCAACTGATTCATTTGTTGAAGCTGCTATAGCATCTGCGACTGTGTGGACGTCACCGCGCTCAAGTTCCTCTGCGTCGTTCCACTATTCGCACTCATCATCTTCTTCCATAGGGAGGTGCAGATTCTTGTACAGCAATAAAGCGCACGCTTCCTGGATCGACGCAGCTAAGTTCGCGTTCAGAACGGCCCGCATCTGCTTGTTCCTTAACCCATCGAGGAAGGAATCGTACGGCATACGAGGCTCGTGATAGTTTAGGAACTCGCACATCGTGATGATCCTTTCGCCCACTCTTCCGCGGATTCGCTATAGTTCCTCTTAGCGGCCATGAGTCGTCTCCACAACTGAGCTGGCGTCTGAAAGATGAAGCTGTTATAAAATCCTTCGCGCAGAGTTTCAAAGTCGTGGATCCTCGCATTGTACCACCATTTCTAACCCAACTTGCCCTTCAGACACTGCTCGAAGGCTGCCAACCGCATTTGGTCGTCCATTCTGAGCGTACACTTCTCGAAGGAACGCCAGAACGCGGTCGCCCTTTCGTACGTGGCTGTCTCTGAGTAGAGCGGGACGATAACTTTCACAGCGTTCCGTAATTCCGTCGGGATATCAACAATCGGAACGTCCAGCAGAGCGCCTCTTCCTGACCCGCGCGAGCCATAGCGGACTCCTTGGTCGTAGAGCGGACTCGTCACTTGCCCTTGCGGAGGTACTGCATTAGGTGCGTACCTTCAACCCTGAGCAACCTCGTTCCCTTCTTGTCCTTGCGCTCCGCCTCGTCCCTGGAACATCGCAACATTCATAGGAGACGTTCTCTGGAACGGCAATTCGTTCGTTCCCCTTCTGGGGCTGTCAGGTGTCTGCCGTGCAGACGCTGCAGACCACGCGGGTATCGTTCCAGCAGTAGCCCACCCAGGTGTCGACGTCATTGGTGGTTGGAATGGAGGGTAGAACGCACTCCTTTAAGGCGTTCCCACCACCTCCACCGTTACACGTGGAACCAGCCATTGGAATTGACACGGCTCCATACGAAGGAATAGCAGCCATCGGCATTCGGCTCGGTGTCGAAACCGGCGTTTGCGTCCTCATTCTCGGGGTCATAGGTCCTTGGTACCCCATCATTGAAGACGTCACTGGTCGGGTCGGCGTCGGCACGGTACGTGGCATGTGTCCCGTGGCTTGACGTCTTGGTGATGGCACAGGTGTTCCGTTTGTCATTCCAGCCCTCTGTAGCAGTTGGGCGAGACCGTCCATGATGATAGCCTGTAAGGCTGGGTCCGTCGTCGGCGTTACACTTCCTCTCGTCGGCATTCTCATCGATTGAACAGGCGTCGCCCCTCGACTTTCACTAGGCACGTACGCTCGCGTAAGTGTTCCCGCAACAGCAGGTGCGGTTCCTGGGGCACTTCTGCTTCCTTGTTGGCCCGGTACGCTGTTGCTGGGTCGGCTGCGCGCCGACGTGACCGTTGGCACATCTCTTCCAGCGTTGTCCACCGGTTGTAACGAGGGTCGCGCTCGATTCATGGCGAGCCCGACCTCGAGGCGACCTCCCGAGTCCTTCACCGAAGCGTCCAGGAGCGCACCCGTCTTCGTCTTTGCAGGCGTCGCTCCTTCGCTGAGCGCCGGTTGGCGAGCCCACTGCTCAAGGACCGTGTTAGACATCTGCCCACCAAGAGGCGTCCCAGACACAGTCTCAGCCGTCCTCTTCGTTTTGGGAGACGGAGACGCAATGTCGAACATGTCCTCGCCTCCCACGTGGACCGCTCTTGTCTCGTACCCTCCCGTCTTGGGATCAGCTCGCTGCGGCGTACCACGTTCCTCGTCATCTCCCCGACGTTCCCTTCCTTGAGGTCTCTGCGGCGTGCCGCCGCCAGCAGCTCTCTCAGCGCGCACTTCCTCTTTTTCCTCGAGGATCTCCACGGGCTCCATTTCCAACGGAGGAGCACATCCCCCTACCCCTTCACTGGCTCCAAGACCTTCGCCGGACCGTCCATGAGCGCCCATTCTTTTCCTACTCCTTTTTCCTTCTTCCTTGACACTCCGTTGCCAAGGCTTCTTCTCACACTTGTACTCCTACGGTATTCGGCTAGAAGATACCCTGCTTCTCCACCAAATTGTCGAGGTCTTCCTCTAATCGGGGTCGTGAGTATCTTGGGCCGACGTAGGAGGTAGTAGTATTAGCGACACTACTGGGATCGTAATGTAAAAGTTAACATATTCGTGTGTTGTTTGTTAGAAGAAAATCCACGACTTACCTCCTCATTTCACCTTGCTAAGTGTTTTAAAGGTCCTTGCCTTTCAGCATATCTCTCGTGTGTGGTGGTCCAGCCCCAATTCCCGCCACGACCGGCTGCTTCGCAACCTCACACTTGGAACGTCACTGTCTTGGCCGCAGGTCCCGCTTGCTTGGATGTGGTCCGGAGAGTCTGGAGCGAGTAGACCTTCTGCAGGCAGTCAGCCAGCATCGTTAATCCACCATCTAACTGTACACCGTGACACAACGCACAGTTCTGGCACTAGGCTACCGGAAACTGCATTTTGTGTTGCTACCATTGACTCCAACGCTACATCCACCAACCATGGAGTCGAGCTGAAGAAACGAACGGTACTGTCGTGAAGGTGACACTGGAGCCTCGTGCGTTTGGTGCAATCTATGTCACAAAAACCGGCAACGACGTGACCCAGTTTCTCAACGAGATGCAAGCAATGACCACCAAACCCCTAACTAAATACTCGACGGCAAGGAACTTGCTGCAACAGCAGCTTATCCGCAGTAGCAGTAGCAATATCTCGACGTCCTCGGAAAGCTCTCGACGGTATGGCGCGTGTGTCTGGAGCTGCCAACTGGTGGTTCAATGTCAGTGGCGTGCAGATCGAACCCGTGCCGGCCTGGACTCCGAATTTCGCTCAATACGGAGCGGGAGTGCAGTTTCCCTGGGAGAATCGTCCATGGAACAACCACTCGACGAGGCTGTTGGTCCAGGATTTTCTGATCGATAAGCGTCCTGTGACCAACGCTCAATATTCGGCCTTCCTCAAGGCCAGTGGCTACAGTTTTAAGTCGCTGGACCGCTTTTTGCTGCACTGGGAGAACCGTCAAGGTGCTCCAGCGTCGTGGACTGTGTCTCCTTCCTTGGCACATGTGAATGTTGCTCTAGAGGACGCTCAAGCGTATGCCAAATTTTACAATAAGCGTCTTCCGCATGACTGGGAATGGCAGTATGTTGCTTCCAACGGTGATAACTACGATGCCTATCCGTGGGGACCTGAATTCGACAGCTCGAAGGTGCCCACGGTGTATCATGGCAAATAGTTGCCCAAGTTGGATCCTGTGGGTTCGTACGAGAACTCTCACTCGACGAAGTTCCAAGTAGAAGATCTTGTGGGCTACGTGTGGCAGATGACAGATCAGTTTTGTGACTCTCACACGTGTGGAATTCTCCTGCGAGGATGAAGCAGCTACCACCCCATCTCGGCTACGCATAGCGACCCCAACTGGTACTCTCCTCAAGCTCTGGACGCGCAGCATCATAACCGCTTCCTAATGATCAGCGAAGGCTACGATCGCTCCCCCATGGTGGGATTTCGCTGTGCGAGAAGCATCACCCTCCTCGCGAGTTTAACATTGCTGGATGAGCGGTGCAGGGGAGAGCCACATACAAAAGGAGAAAAAAATGGCGAATCATTTCGTTTGCTTTATATTGCGTTCGCATTTCCTCTGATCTTGGCACGCACGGCATGTTGAGGGACATGCCTTTCGATAATACAGCTGCAATGCGATTCTTGCTTCTTAGTAATTGTTACGATAAGAGTAATATCACACCACTACTTTCAAGATACATTGCTTGTTGGTGGAAAAGCTGTCAAATACATGTGATTTGGATAATAAGGAGATCTTCTGCACTCCAGTTTTGCCTAGCTGGGATTGGGTAGTTTGTTTTGTGAAGCATGGGCTACAAACTGGAAATATTTTACTGATAATTTTCATCATGACAGTAATATAAATTATTCCATACAAATAAAGCCATATTATTTGTACCGCAATGGAAGGCCTGTTGAGGAGGCAAACACTTGATTTCACCGAATTTAGTGTCTGGACTACTAATGATTTGTGCCCCCTCCCAAGTCATCAAATTCGAGGGGGGGGCTAACTCGTACAGGAATACATTAACGAATGACCAGTTCTGGCAGAAAATGGAGGGCAGTAGGGGCTGGATGAAGCTAACTATAACTGTACTCACCATCATTTGGATTAAGATTTATTAGGGTAATGCTGCTTTAACGAATTGACAAACACTTCTGTAATATAGAGTCGAAGCAAAACTGCGCTGTAACAGCTATAGTCCAGTCGGTAGTAATCAAATATAAGACCGGGCTTCTAATATGTGAAAGGCTTGCATTTTTATTCACCAAAAACCCTTCGGCGGTTTTCCGTCTATTCGAAATACTAAATGGGTACTTCATATATTTAGGAAAATTGTAATATCCATTAAAAAATATTCTTCTTCTGAGCTCTTGTTGTTCTGGTATCGAAACAACTTAGGTCGCTTGTTTCTCAGAACATCCGATTCACTTCCCGCTCCTCCGAACCGGTTCAGTGAGCCGAGCACTTCTTAATATATATGGGAAACAGAAGAGTTAATACATGTTTCTGCGAACGTTTGTAGGAAAAATAGATCGTCTGCGACCTGCGCTGGTAATACCGGATATTTCTTATGATTAATATAATAAAATCATACCTTACAGTATTAACAGCTCTACACATGCTTGCCTCTGCTCTTTTAATTTTAAGCGTGGTCTGGTAGAACAGTTCGTGACAGGTTTTAGCTGTCCAGGATTTCTAAGGCAATCTGAATCGCTACTTTACCAACGATGCCTACTTAAGTATTCAGACTGGCAATGGCGTAGAGCAAAATAGCACTTTTGTTGCCAACTATTTTATGTTGAAGTGATCCTGCTCGATTTAAATTTCTATTAACGCTACCGGTATCACGACTATTCAAGGTATTGTTATTGATTGAGGCGCATTGCCACTACGATGACTGACCGGCGACAGGAATGCTAGGAACGGTCCTGACGTGAGTGCAGCACGTCTGGAAGGCTGGGAGCGTAGTGATGGACAAGCAAAGACCTACTGAGGATAAAGTGGCAAATGCGGGAATGATGTCGAGTTACCGTAAACAAAGTCACCCATCCAGACCATTTAGGCAAATCACAAGTTACCTTTCATTATTGTGACACTAACATTTTTACTAGCGTTCAGACAGGACTGGGCAAACTGCTATTCCTTACGGGCCAGCCATATTTAATTGGACAGCAAATCTACTAAGGATAGACCGGCGTATTCATGCTGTGCTCGGTCCCTTATGCATTGTCTGGGCTTATGCGAATTTAACGTTCGCTCTATTCGGAAATTGCCCTGGAGGCAGCAGACGTAGTGGCAAGACTGCGGCTGCTGCAGAGTGAGGAACACATAACGTAGAGCGACTTTTGACGAGTATGCTGACTATGGCGAAAAGTGGTGCGGGAGACCCAGTCACCCGTGATGGACTCTTTTGTCCTTCAAGGTGATAACCGGGTACTCAAATGCTGACAAACTTTACTCAAGCTGAATTTGGCGTCTTGTGGGAGGAGGCTGAGGCTCGACTGACTGCAAGCTGTGTCGAGTATGGGACGAGGTCAAAGAAGTCAGACCAGCTCGAAGGATGCAATGTTCATGATATTAGGTATCCTACACACTATGAGACGTGGGACAACCGACCTTAAGCCAAATACGCGAACGTATAAGTTCTTAGAGGTGATTGAACCAATCCTGTTCGCAAAGTTTGTGAAACCGGTGACGATGACTCAGCAATGCGAAAGCAACAAGACCGTCCGCAATTACCCCTATGCCCTCTTAGCTACCGACGTCAAATTTCAACCTGCTTATTATCCAAGTATTCATTTCACTGAAAAGAAAACCCGCTTCAGTGGCACGCACAAGCTGTGCGGATACAAGCTTGTGTGCTCAGTCGCAAACCCTAGTGTAGCCGTTGACGTCTAGTCCCATGAGCCCGACTCAAAATTCGATTTAACAATGATGCTCAATCTTAGACCCGTACACGTGGCGCGCTTGACACCTATAAAATTGGGACAGGACGATCACGAGGAAGGGGCAGCGCAACACCCTCTTGCACGGGGGGGGGTCGTCAACAAAAGATACAAAGGCGTGAGGCAGTGCTTCGAACTATTTAACCGAGGCGGCAATCTCGCGGCGGAGAGCTGAGCAATCAAAACATGACCCGAATCGCCTTGTTCCATCGGACCGCGTGTATGCGGAAAACAAATTCTGGGAGTGTATGTATGTTGTAGAAGGTTATGTACCTTCGTATAAGTGAAAAGAAGTGAGCTCTGAAATGATTGTGAGAACATGTTTCGCGCTAACCAGCTTTCACGTTAGGCGAGGACATCCAACTGTATCACTCCGTGCTTTTACGATATCAATCAATGACCGGAGAGACCAGGGAAGGACACAAACGAAGCAAAAAAGCATACAGAATGCCACCGAACGACGATGCCACGCCCCACACCCTACCAGCGATCCGTAGTGCACGAAGACGTCGAAACGCAGACGTCACTAGAGTTTTAACTTAATGAAAGAATTCCGAACCTTCTCTCACAGCTATCTAGATAACTAAAACACTTTTTCATTTTTACTATTGGATCCCCGAGCAAAAGTAGTATTTTGGACTGTGGGTACTATATATTACCATATACATGTTCCATTAACCGATCTTGTCACTTTAAGTTGCCTTCAGCTTGACCCCTTTAGCAATCTTCCAAAAAAACTCTTTAAATTAATAACGCAGTAATTTATCTCGTGTTTTAAAATAGAATTGAATTTCCGTGACGTATGCTCAGCTTTATATTTTAAAATTAAAAATGTTATGTATTTCCACAGATTTCTGTAGCTCACTAATCGTAGTAATTTGGTGAAAAGCTAATGTAAAATATGATTTTACGTTTTTCATTTTGATGTCTGGCACGAGCAGCTCCATTTGATAATGCGCTGGTGCACTGTCAAAAACGATGCCAATGCACTTGTACACGTCCGACTCTTTGCTGGTATCGTACAGCGCCACGAAGTCGATGTTAGTTTGCATCTATATGCTGCTGCGGTGGTACGCAACCACACCCTTCGAGGACGAGACCGCGCATTAGATCTGAAGGTTCGCCTCCTTCGATGGCGGTAGCATCTCGATGGTGCGCTTTCCCTATTTTGCCCTGTCACGTGTACGCTTGATTTACAGGTTGAAGTTGGTCTCGCCGAAGTACACGACGAGATCACCTTTGTCGTTGTGGCGAATAAATTTCTCATCGAACTCCTTCCTCTTTACTTTGTCCGAGTCGCTGTTACACGTCGTGGAGCCGACGCGGGTCTGCAGCAGCAATAACGGTTAGCGTTTATAGCGAAATTGTAATATACGCTTGTATACATAGGATACATGCTTGGCAGTGTATAGCCTGTCGACAAGGTGACGTGAGAAGGTTGTTCCAGACAACTGTACATTAAAATCCTCCCGTACCAATGCCTTCACTGTACGGAAGATGTATGTGCAGCCCTCGTTGGGCCACGTCTTCAAGTCAACTTTTGCACCGTGAGATGCAGACGACTGGGAAAAGGAATCGAACGAGTCAAACAATACGCAGCTACTGTAAGCTCGATGTTTGGGCCCATGACAACGATGAACGAGGACAGACAACACTCGAAGGTGCGCGAGGCACGTAGGATGCGAATCGTTGCAGGACACACGAACACCTGTAGACGCATTGGAGCTCTGGGCAAAAAGGGCCGACTCTGGACGAAAAGGGTAAGCAAGCGTCTATCGTTGACGGAGTTCACGCGGCTGACGAGACGGCCAAGTCAGCGAGTGCACAGCACGTCAGTGTACGTGCGAGTTGACCGGAAGCTCCGTTGAGCAGGACAGGCGCCCGAGGGTCCGTCCAAGAGGCTAAATACAGCGCCGGCCACAGACTCTGGTAAAATCGGCTCGGTAATGGCGAGTAGGAGGATGCGAGCGCAGGAAGCTCGTTCGAAACGAGCGAGAACGAAACAGAACACACAAATGGTATATATGTCGTGGAGGCACACTACCTATGCAGGCGATAAGTTATCGACCGTCTGCTTGCGAGTCTTGGACGTTATTGGCACTGGCTCCGTAGCTGGGTATCACCAACGACGTATGATAACATGATTGATTTATTTGATTTGTTAACGCATAATATCTGGTTGATATTGAGAATGTGACCAATGAGCTACAGCGAGACGTTGCTGTCCCGCAGGTGAATGGTGTCTGCTCACCACAATACCGATGCTTGCGTGACTGTGAGCGATACTAACGTTATCAACAAGTTATTTTTGTGGCATTGCTTACTACTGCTATCTTGGAAGGTAGTTTAGAATTATATATCTATTTGGGAAAGTCTATACCAGCCTAGCGCCTTCCTCTCGGACCACACACTGATATGGCTTCTCTCATTCATGTTAATTTCCACATTTTGCGCAACCACTAGATTATCAAAACTCTTAAATTAAACCCAGGTGCAGGGCGCCTCCAAGTGACGCAGCAATAGGCTCATCCTCTCTTGGATATTGTGCTCCTCCTTCGGCCCCCGTTTTCCCATGTCCATCGGGTACAGCTATTGCAGGACTTTATTTGCCTAACTTAGCAAACAGAACAAGCGCACTGGAATCACATTGCATTACTTCGCCGGTATCCGGCTACAGTATACTAGTACATGCCGTACATACCGCCGAACTTTACTGTGATACTATACGTACCGACAGGACACTTGAATGTGATACAAATGCTAGCCCAGATTACGCTTTCGCAGTTTCGTGGAATTAATCCGTTGGGGCACATTCCTCGGTATTACCGGTATTATGCGAGCCTAGAATATTTTTTTCGTTTTAGTGCATCCCTGTCAGCCGGACTTGATATTGGATGATACAAATAAGCTATCCAGCACCGCATTGACAAGTACACCGTTCACCCTACTTATTAATAGTCGTCCACGACTATTGTGCTCACGCGCTATGAAATTAAATTTGTAATAAGGCTACTTATATTACTACACATAAAATACATAGCGCAAATTAGTTTTTTTGCGATATGAGGTAGAACCGAAAGTTTTTATCAAAATCTATAACCCTTTCGTATCATAAGGGCGTCTGGTGCGCCCTTTTGCAAAAGATCAACTGATTCTGCTCCGTCTATAGAAGCATACGGCA